TTGTTACTTTTACTTGAGTAAAGAAGTTTAATCAGTACTTCCACTTTTACCAGAGTATTTTTTAACACAAGTATCTGTACTTTTACTCAAGTATGGAAAGTGAGTACTTTTGCCATCTCTGCCTATAAGTAACACAGATGTTGTCATACGAACCCGTTGGTTGCCAGCACATAGTTGAAAGACTGCCGGCTCAAACTCCTCTTTCTCCAGAACAAAGTTGGACCTGATCCTCTCCTCTGTGCCGAATCCAAAAAATGAAGAGATTGAATCTGAAATTAGATCAAATAACGTCTTTTGTCAATGTCAATTTTATTTAATTTTACAAATTCTACTTCACCGCTTAAGTACGATTAAGTAATATTTTCCAGTGTAAGTGATACGATTCATTTTCCTTTTTTACAATGTGGCCTGGTATTTATGTTTTACACATCATCCACCCACTATTTTATAAACACAGAAACTAAAAACTTGTAGAAACCCACTGCAACTAGTTTTGAAATCCCAACCAAACCATATCATTCAGTCAGATCCACCTCCTGTCTCACAGATTTGTTTACAAATGATAAGAAGATAAAAGCAAAGCTTCCAGATATTTTAAAACAGGATTATACCTTTCATTTGGTTGAATATGCTCTTTTCCTCCACCTCTTCTCCCTGCCTCTTCTTCATACTGTTGTGAAAATCAGTGATCATTGCGGTCTGAAAGATCAGGACCTTCACGCTGGAAACAAACTTCGGGTGCTTCTTCCTCACAAAGTCCACCACTGCACCCACCATGGCGTCGGCTACCGCCGATGGGCTGACACCTCCCTGACCTGCAAGAGACATGAAGACCGAAAGAACCGATAAAGTTGATGAGGACTGAAATCTGTCTATTTAAACCTGCTTTTATTGTAAAGCAACCATCTGGCTTTGCTTGAACAGCAAAGAGCTGATGGGCAGCTAGCTGACTATAAACTACATTTATAAACCAAAGTCTTAAATTCTCCTTATTATAGAACACCTAAAACAAGCTAGTGTTTTTTTCTTTTCTGCTTTTTATTGAAGTCTTTACAGTTGCTGCCACTATAAACAGCAAAACAGATGTGACTCTAAAATACTCCTAAACCACTCCTGGAAGCTCTGTAGGGATGAAGTGAGGCATAATCCAATAACAACAACCTCACCTGTAGTTTTTTGGGGGCTTGTCCATGATAACAGCACTTCAATGTCTTTATGAGACAAATTAATATGTATGATGGTGAACTGAGTTTGTGTTTTTTGATAGTTCAAAAAGAGAAGAAAGGTAAAAAAGCCAAAGGTAAAAACATATAAATTCTACATTTTAATATGTGCAACAAGCTAATGTTGTTTGTGGTCAATGCTGGGAATTGGTATTATTTTGGAACTGAAAAAGTATTGCTAAGTTTTAATGCAGAAAGTAGAGAAAATGGCATCAAAGTAAAAAATTATACAAACAATGATGTACCAGTTCATAATTAAATGTTGTATGAAAAGTAAGACCAAACTTTATTATCACAGACCTGTTCCTAGAGCTGGGAAGGCGACTGAGCTGAACTTGTTCTCCTCACAGAGCTTCAGGACTGCCTGAACAATCTCTTTAATCTTAACAGCATCATTCTGACCGACTACATGGATGATGTTTCTGGAGGGGAGCAGACCACCTGTGGTCATGATCATCCCACGAGGTGTATAGCCCGGAGAATTCACTGTAGAAATGAAACACGTTATATCACAAAATCTTGAAAACCTTATTGAAAAACCCCACTAAAAACATGTCATTTAACAAAAGATTTAACAGTAGAAACGCACCCATCTGTGCACACTCCATTAAAACTGTTGGTCCAGCGCTGTCCAAGATGGCCTTGGAAACTCCTGAGAAATATGAAAAAGAAAAACTCTGATTAGCTAAACTGAATCAGTGACATGTCTCTACACCCTGCTGTTGTGTTTGATCAGCAATGATGTGTAAAGTAATCCAGTTTTAATTTATTAAATCTAAAGTTATCTACCGTTTCTAGTTTTCCAGATCTAATTCCTAATATTCCTTATAATCAGTTGAGAAACTATTCCATGCCTTTTTTTACTTCAAAGCTGGACTATTGCATATGTTGTATTGTTCCTTAT